TCGCATTATTTCTTCCAGGCCCAAGTAATGTGAGAACAAATCTGGACTCTGGGCATCTCCCACATGCTCATGCTGCCCATCAGCCTCAGCCTCAGCCTCAGCAGCAGCATCAGCAGCAGCCACAACCTAATCCTAACCCCTCTTACACTGTCCCACCATTCCCTAGATTCTCAAATGCATCAGGAACCTTCTTAAACAGCTCAAAATCAGCAACCCCACATCCTCAAACCCCATCTTCTGCCGGTCCTTATCCCTATCCTTTACATTCACCCAACTCTTACATTAATGTGTCTAATGCACCCACCCCATATCCCAGGTCTCTTACACCCAACCCTCTCTACACTGGTTACCAATGTAATGGAGGACTCCCCATGAACAACTACCACCCTTACTACTCTTCCAATCTAAAGCATCCAGATATGTATCATCCCCAGAGAAATTCACTGTACTCTGAGCAGCAGTACAATGCACCTCAACGTTACGGGGTAAACTACCCACCACACTATGGAGAGTCTAGCTTGCCAACCAATGGTTATGGCACCTGTAACATGAAACCTGGCATGCACGCCATAGGACGTTACCCAGGTTATGCTCCTAATATGTCACCTGATGCTTTCTCTAGGCCTCCCTCAGCCCATCTACATTTGGACTATGCAGCTATCGGCAAAAGCAGCCAGATTGAAGCTTACCCCAAACCTCATATGTCACAGAATCCTCAGATGTTTCCCCCAAATCTAAATACCTTAAGTATGCAAAATAATAAAGATTTAGAGATAAACATGCATAGAGCAAATGGTATCTCTCAGGTGTTTCCTCCTTTGGGTACTGAATGCTTCAACCCAATCCAACCTCCAGGTTTGAGGCTTTCCAGTGAAAATGCCCTTAACCCCATAGTCAAACAGGAACCCCCTACCCAGACTTCAGAACAAAAAGAAAAGGAGGATGTGTGGTCTGACAGTGAGCACAACTTCCTTGACTCTGAAATTGGAGGAGTGGCAGTGGCACCTAGTCATGGGTCAATCATTATTGAGTGTGCTAAGCGGGAGCTCCATGCGACTACACCACTCAAGAAGCCTGACCGCAACCATCCCACCCGTATCTCTTTAGTGTTTTACCAGCACAAGAACTTGAATGAGGCAAAACATGGACTGGCTCTGTGGGAAGCAAAGATGGCAGAGAAGGCCAGAGAGAAAGAGGAGGATGCTGAGAAGCATGGTACTGAAAATACATCCAGCAAGAGCAGTGGAAAGAAGGTGAAAAGAGAACATTCAGAACCTTCTGAACCTTCAGAGCCTCCGTATAAGCAGTTCCTTCTCATGCTTAATGAGCGGTCAACATCCTGCACTACCAATACATATGTAAGCACATCTCCCTATGCCTTCACCAAGGTGACTGGGCCTTACAATCAATTCCTGTAAAAACCTCCATAGGTCCAGAGCATTCACAAACACAAGAGTAAGAGTGGCATCAGACAAAGTAAATGGTGCTACAATATAGTGTTGCAGACCTCTGTGCCACTGGCCAAATAACCCATAATGCTTGCTCTGTTTGTGTGAAGTTATTAACAGTAGATAGATTCAGTATCCTACTATATGGAAAGACAGATCGCAGTGGGTTTTTCATGCTCTTAAGAAGTCAAGCTTTACTGTTTAATCAATTAGAAATATGAATTTATTATTGAATTACTCTATGATAACACACTGTTCTTCATCCATGGTGCTTAGAGTCCAACAAATCATGGACATGGCCATATTACTGAAAAAAAATACTCATGCTTGGTGACTTTTATGACTAATCACTGTTTTATGGTGCTAGGGAGTGTTTTGAATGCAAATGTGTTTTCAAATGCCTTTCTTTAACACACAACAAAACACATTGTATAATATTTTGAATAGTTATTTTGATTGAGCAATTAAGAAAATACTTTGCTTAATTAGTGTTTAAGAAGCACTTTTTTAATAATAGTGAGGGTATTACTTTATGCCCTCCAATTTGAAAGACAATTCATTACACTGCAGCCATTTTAGTTTCACAACGTGGAAAACAATAATGATGACCTCCATGGTGGATAGTCAAACATCATGTTTCAGCCTTTTAAAGAATTTCTCTGGTGCTTACACGATTTCAGAAATCCTTTATACTTACTGTATGTGAGCCATTGAGGGTTAATTTTGTAAGAATAATGTTCTGATTCACTAAAACTGTGACATTTCAGAACACTGAATACTGATACTTGGAGTGAAGAAAGACAATGGTCAATATTAGGTAATTGAAGCATGTATCAAGGAACACATAACAGGGTTACCTTTGCATCAATGTCACTGTTTCAAAGGCAGCTGGCTTGGCTTGCTGTGGCAGTCCTTACATAACGCAACTGTAGCTGTATAAAAAAAGTTGAGATTTGTACAGTAAATTATTATTATTTCGAATGTATGCTTAGATAATAGTTTAGTAAAGATGAGTACTATTACTTTGGGTTTGAACTGATCTTATTTCAAATGGTGCTACTTGACCTGCTATACATATAATGTGAGAATTTCTAAGGGTGTTGAGAAGGCTTATGAATGGCGTAAAAAAAACCTACTTATCATATACCTCAGAACTAGTTTGGCAATAGAATGATAATACCAAGGTGTTTCTGTTCTTTTATTTCCAAACACTTTGTAGCAAATATAACACAGACCTTAAGGCCACCAAGTTCATTTCTTACTTTCTTCACACTTGATCTATTAGAAAGTATTACTTGACCTTCGTGTTTCAATGGAATTGCAAAATCAGGGATATCAGCTAATTTCTGTGCATAAACATCACTTGTGTTCATGTTGTCTTCTCTAAATCAGGTTTGAGCCTTTGTATTTTAAATCGATCTAAATTTCTTGTATATATTACACACATATCCAACTTTGTTATAAAACTAAAAGAATCTGAATTTGTGTATTGTTGAAGCAGAATGTTGCTAAACTTTTCAAGAAGTAATTAGAAAATATTTTAACATGCACTGATTTAAAGGGAAAGTGTCGCAACCTATATTAAGCAATGCAGTTGCTCTTTACTGAAAGGTAAGACCAAGTCAGTTAAGCTATTGTGTGCACATTAGTTGCATATGTACAGCTTGAGGCTAAATGTATTCACAACCACTAAACATGGTAATGCCGCTTACACAACCCTGTCCACTGAATCAAATTAGAAAAGTGATAATTGGTAATGAAATATATGCAACTCATTCCACTCTGACATAAAAAAAATTAAAGCACTTTGTTTGTTTTTTCAGAAATAATTTAAAAAAATGTATGTAAAGTCAAAATAGGTAGATCATTGTAAATTAAATAGATTATGCCACATTGTATATACCACATGCTTGTATTGCAGAAGTCTAAGTCCATGTTATGCACAAAGTTTAATTTAACGTTAAAAGTACCATCACTCCACACATATAATAATCATAGATTTTGCCCCTAAAATCGGTCTTGTTGGTATTCAGGCCACCTAAGTTTTTTTTTTGTAATTTTTGAATACAACAGCAAAGTTTACAATTTGTTTTATTAGAAATCACTTTGATGTACTGACTAGATATGAAAGAATCTTCCAATTTTGTAGTTTAAATTAGTTGTTAATTTTCTGTGTACAGAACCCAGCTTGAGTAGCAGGTTGTGTATGAAGCAAAAGCAAGTGGTGGTTAAAATTTAGTGAGTGACAAGAACAGCCATACTTGAAGATGCTTCGGAGAGTTTCTGAGTGGAGTCAACTTTACTTGAATGACTTTCTGACTTCAACTAACAAACTGGGGTGCACAACTTTTACATTAAGCTAGCTGTTTATGTACACCTGTTGGTATTTTGCCATTAGACACTAAAAGTTTAAATGTGCTATTTTCTGCCTTTTTGTATTGCTTCCCCTTCAAATTTGTAATGCTTAAAACATTGAATTAAGAATGGCTTTGAATACTGTAAGTATTGTAATGTACTGAAGAACTGAATGCAGTTTATTTGAAAGCTGTTTGTTATTTGTTATCATTCCTAATATTGCTGAAATGTGGTTTTTAATAAAAATGATATTTATTTCAATAATTTACTGTAAATTATGCAACTTTATATTTATAATTTTGACTCCTTTAATGATTAAATAAACCAAACAAATAATATGGTTTTATTTATAATTTGCAAATGGTACAATTACAAACAGTGCTTACAAAAGTATATGACCCTTGGAAGCTGTGATGTTTTATTTCTTTACAACACTTTGACTTTACATTTATGATTTGCATTTCATTATTTTAGATTACTAACAAAGACTAACACATTGAAGTCCAAGGGTGTGAATAATTTTTACAATAACTGATGATAAAATTTAAATTAGAATACATTTAAAACACAAATCTCCTTTCAGTGCATTAATAAAGTAATTAAGCTTTTTTTTATTAAAGTTACAATTTAAACACTTTTAATTTTGTAAATATATTATCATGGAAAACAAAAAAGATTGATCTGAGTTTATTTCCTATATACTAGTACTTGATTCTGATGGTACACATTCCAGGGAAAGTTTTTACATTTTTACATCAGGCATGGAACTTCACATTCTTGCTACAGAGTTTGATTTCTTGGTCAACTTGCGAAGACAAACTCTTCTTGTCCTAATACCCAATGTATATTGGTTCCTAATGGCAGTAATTACAAACCAAAATTTTCTTAACCTTGTACCTAAGCTTAAACTTGTTCTTAAAGGACTTGTCAGAATAGGTGTATAAATAGAAATAAACAAAACACACATACACATGAAAAGGCACTGTAAAAGTCTGAAGAAGAAAAAAAAAACTCAGGTTTTAGAGATTAACTATTCAACCTTTAAAGTATGAACATGATCTTTGGCACTGAAACGTGCATTTCAGAAACACGTTCACCAATGTTACTGCAAAAATAACTTGGTCATTTCACCAAATGAATGAGAGGGGGGTGTGTGTGTGTGTCTTGTTCTAATAAGTAAAGCAATGTTTTAAAAAATAAAACATTAATAAAACAAAAATCTTTGCACCAGGGACATTACTGACTTCTAGCATTCTTCTGGCCTTTTCTACCTTCTTCCGAGGTCACACTGCAAAGAGTTAATGATCTTTTACTTTGTGAAGAAGTGCCATTTGTCCACTGCAAAATAGAAACGAAGTTAACAAAGTCATGTAACTTGTAAAAGTATTGAAAAACATTAAATACAATTTTACCTTCAGATGGTACTGGGAGGGGTTCCCCATATTCTGCAGCCTACAACAGCAAAAGAGTATTTGTCTTTTGTCTAATAGCAAAAATGAGCCAGTATGAAAGGACATAAATACTCACAGCTTCAACTACAGTACTGGCCTCTGCATCACTGCATTTGAATGGACTCTCACATAAGGAAGAGTTTTGACTAAGAAAGAGATTGATCAAAGTAAATGTCACAAAAATCAAAATGGTCATCAAAATGACTAGAAATAAAATATCAAACAATTGAAGATGTAGAAAAACTAAAATGTATTACAAAGAGAAACTCTGTCATTTAATAAATCTGAAATAAAAATCAAATCTTACACTCACCAAACAATCTCATCACTTTTCATCTTTTTTCTCATCACTAATGCTTTCCAGTAGCTGTGTGTTGACTTTATGACTTCTATAGCAAAGTCCTAACATGATATTAACAACATTAACATTAGATGATTGATCATTGAATGGATTAACACTTCTCTCTCATAATCAATCTTCCATGCTGCACTACCTTATCCTTGAACTGTCCATTGAATGCAAACTGGTTCTCAGGCTTCCCATCTGGCACTTTATATTTTTTAAACCAATCCACAGTAGCCTCAAGGTGCCCAGGCTTAATCTTTCTCACATCCTCAACACCTGTTAAAGATACACTAGTTGAGATTACAGTCATAAATACAACAAAAACATTTAAAAACTACTCACTGTTAAGGCTTGATGCATCAGGGTCCTCTTTATTGATGGCTATTACCTTCCAGTCAGTCTCTCCTTCATCTATCAAAGCCAGAATTCCAAGAACTTTAACCTGAATCACCTGCCCTGTTACACACACCTGTAACACAGAAATATACAGTGGCTTAGAGTAGTAGCAATCAGACCCATAACCAATTTGTGTTAGGAAAGAATGTATTATGCAAAATAATAATACACTGATGGAACAATGCCCAAAAATGCCACCTACACAGTGTTAGAAGGAAACAAAATGTGAAACTGTCAAAGTGGTATACAAAGTAATATGATGATTAGGGCTGCATGAATGCATCGAATGCGATTGTCATGCGCATTTTTTTAGTAAAGCCAGTTCTGTAATCAGCAGTAAATCATCATCACCTGCTTTCAGATGGAGCAGCATTTACTACACAGAGCCGTAGTTCACTGACAAGTTACACAAAAAATAAATAAATAAATAAAAAACCTTGCAGACGCGATAATCATTCGCGATAATGACAGCTGTTTGCATAGCTTCTCAGTGAACTACGGCTCTGTGTAGTAAATGCTGCTCCATCTGAAAGCATGTGAAAATACCACATTTAATAACATGTTTTTACTACAAACTCACTTCATAACTTCAGTCGAGTGTTTGAAATAAATCCTTCTGTGAGATGATGTGGCTTCTTACACAGAATAAGGCACGCAAGATATTTCATCGTATTTAAACAGTGATAAAGGCATTGCATTATAAATATACTTTATTTGAATGAAAATTATAATAATAATAATAACTCAGATAAACCATATATTGTCATAATTGTGTGTTTATTAGTCACGTTGAATCAATGACAGCAGTTAAATATTCTGGCATTTCCTGGGTTTCTTCTGCGGGTGTATTTGGAGTTTCAGCGCGAGAGCACCCTCTGGCCTTTGGATGGAGATTTACTGCTGATCACAGAACTGTGCTTCACTGAAAGATACGCATGACAATCGCAGCTTCGGTCTAATCGCGATTTCGATTTATCACGCAGCCCTAATGAGGATTGACTGAAAAGTCATTAAAATATTATTTTTTAAAAGACTGAGAAATATTGATTTTAAGGTTTCAGTATTTTTAAATTAAAGCAAAACTTAGATAAAGGATTTTTTTTTTGTGAAATACAAAACTGCTAAATGTTGTAAATAGTGATTCCACCCACCTTGGAGCCAATCTCACACACATCTATGGGGTCATTGTCTCCACAGCACATGGTTGCCTTGTCAGTATGGCTGGGATCTTCCCATGTCTTTAAACATTGGTTTAAAAAAAAAAATTACACATACACACAACGCAAGAATACTGTACAATTAAGATGTTCAAATCAGATTGCAGACAGTTTTGAAAATCATAGCCATAATCAAAACCATGACATCACCTGTGGAAGTGCACCATAGTTCCAAATGTAACCTTTGTGTGGAAAAATGTTAGCAACATATCGCAGCTTGCCTTTCTTCACATCTTGCTTGATTGGGTTTAGTGGTTCCTTTGTTGCTATCTGTGGACAAAAAATAAAAATAACATACTAAAATAACATACTATTGCATTGAGTTAAGCACAATATCAGAACATACAATATTTAATGGATTACAATTTTTAATTTAATATCAAAAGGTAATTTTTTGATTGATTTGGTACTTACTGTATAAGCCTGAAGCTACACAGACCAGATACAAAGTTATATTTACACGGTTAGCTATATGGTATTATTTATAATTATTATTGGCAGAAAAATCTTACTTTTGGCAACCTATTGATAAATAAATAACTGACTTGGTTTTTTTTTAACTCTCTTTTTCTATCATTATTCTTATGTAAGTCTTATATTTTTTCTATTATTCTTCTCATGTAAATCTTATATTCAATGTTAAATTGGCTTTCTTATTTATTGGCCAAATCAGCCAACTGATCGATCAAATTAAGAAATAGAGAATTGCTGGTCATCTTAGCCACAGTCAGACACTAGAAAAACTGCTACAACTCTGTAAAAATATACTTACCTCCATCTTGGCATTTGACCAACGAGGTACTTCTACAACCATATTAAACAATATCTGTTAAAGACAGCACAGAATTAGTTTCTATTTTGTAATTATTAACTTCTATTTTGCAACAATAAGCTCCCAATATGTGTAGATTGAGGAATGGTTACCTCATTCGTTTTAAACTTCTTTGGTGGAACACCACATTCCTGATATGGGAGAAACATAATGCCAACAAAATTAGAAAAAAAGACTGGGTAAGAATTGTGCCCGTTATCTTGATGTCAATTAGGTTTTTCAATAAATTACTCATTTATTTATTACTATCAGACATAACATCACTGATTTGAAGTACATTAGTACATTACCTGTTCATCAGCAACATACAGAGGAATGTCGTGGAAAGGGGATATGTACTTTCCATCGGAAGTTTCTGCAAAGCAAATGTTACAATCTGTATCATTCATCCAAGTTCAATTCATCTCAAGGTATCAATGAAGTATTCTCTAACGTTACTCTGTATGTTTAAATGACCATGAGACCTTGCGTGTTGCTTGACCATATGTAGTAAGCGTAAAGTGTACAAAATACAACGATAAATGGGCAAATTATATAGTGTAATCGTTAGGTTTTTAACTTGCGTGAGTGTAACCGTAAATGCATGCATGTTCTGTCTCTTGCTAGGACGTTCAGAAATCTCCCGCCATTAGAGAGCATAAATCAGCGTTGAGGTAACATGTTCTGTCACCAATACTCATTTTATTTTAAAGGTGTGAGCTGTTTGTAATGCTCATTTTTATGAATGACATTAAAAGGTGAGAAGAGCGAACTTACTCAAGTAAACCCTGTAGTCAGTAGCGTTTGGTCGTCCTCTCAGCTCTGTAAGGTAATGCGCCATTTTTCTCAAATGAATGGAAGCAGCTGAAAATAAAGACGTGCTTTTCCGAGAGGATTGTGAAGAGAAGAAGGCAGCAGAAAACCTCGTGGCAGTATGAATAACTGAACGCATTATTTACATCGACGTATATTCCTGCTTGCGTTTGAACGTCTCGCACATTGCGCGTCACAAATTCTCTTTTAGATATTCCATACTGCCACCTATAGCCAGATGACCGTAATTCACACAGAAGGGTAGCCAAAGTAGGCTATCCAAGCAAGTAAATATGCAAGAATGGGGAACAGTGTGGATATTACCAGCAGAGGCGGACAATTTAGTGATGGGAAGTTCGGTTCTTTTCCGCGAACCGGTTCTTTCGGACAGTTCGATTCAATAAACCGGTTCACCGGTTCTTTTACGCTCGCCGTAATTACGTCATTCGCGATGACGTAATGGCGTCAAGTCTATCGCGGGCTTAACACATTCAAATATAAAGTCAGTAATCATAACATCAGTCAATTAAAACATCATTATAATCTGATACGTTTCTTACAATTTGGATTTTTGTATCTAAAGCATCAACACATATACAGGCAGTGATCTGCAAACTAGGATGTTTAAACAAAAAAAAAATTTACATTAATTAAAAATTTTACAATTTATAATTTAAAAATTTACAGTTATGACGTCAATAAATTAGTCTTCATCAGCGCAGAAACTATGCTCCACTTACTATATATAATCCATTACGGTTTATTTGTAATTAAGTAAACTAACGTTTCGCCGGATCGCCCTTCATTCAAGTCTTCGGTTTACCCGCGCTCATAACATTAGCACAGAATCAGTTGTCCAAAAGAACCAGTTCGGTTCAGACGTGCTGTGTCAGTCATAGTAGGCAATCTGTTCGGTAGC